TTTATAAATACAAAAAAAGAAGAAGGTAAAAGGTGTTATTACCATACATCAAATGTTTAAGAAAGTTTCTATTTAATCCTAATGAACATATTGAAGTATAAGTATTTAAAATGTATCTCCTCTTGATTGAAAGTAAACATTTAAGTCATTTTCAGTATTCCCATTAATAGTCTTCTGGTATTGATCTTCCTTTTTCGATTGTGGACTCTATAGCTCATTTGGGCATGCACAGCACATTCCGAGTCTTGGAAGCCCCAACACCCCCACCCCTCTCACACTTCTTCGCCCAATTTTAAAAGAATACAAAAAGTCAATAACTCTGACATCTACAATTAATGTTCTTCCAGAAAGGTAAGGTAAGGTAAGTAAGTTCTGTTAAATCAAAGAATTGAACATTTGGTCACTTTCACAAGTGCTGTCACATAAGAAACAAAACTGAAGTAGAGCAAGTCACAACACCAATAGCCACAGTACATTGTTACACGATTCTCAGAATCCCCACTTCACTTTATTTTCTTGAGGATTGAAGCTCATGATGCTCTAATGCTGTTTACATGAATTTTCATTTTCACTACTGAAAACTCAGTGAACTGTATTCTTCCTTAAGTGGTCTCTTAAAAGTGGAAAATTATAAATATTGCTCCTAAAGGGCTGGTTGGTGCTCCAGTTAATGGGGGAAGATTTACATACACCGAAATCAGTCCATTCCACAAAACATGTCGTTGAGAGGAGTAGTCTCTCAGAGAGGATTCACAGCAATAGTTCATTGTTGCTTCCCCAATCATGCTATGTAGAGAGCTGAGAAGGGCACTTTAGCGCAAGAAGGTAAACAAAAAACTAGCTCAGAAGGGAGGAGGAGTTCCAGCAAAAGATGTACATGAAACAGACAGACAGAGGGATTGTATGTCCCAAAAACCCTCAGAAAAGGAAGGAAAAGCTGTGATAGTTTCTACATCTCTCTTTTGCCCAGACAACACTTCACACACCACCTCTGGAAACAGCAATCCCACTCAGTGGGAATTGTTGTTGAACCCGATCCACATCCAGAATGTCTATGAAGATACTTTCAAATACTTACAACAATTTAAACTTGCACAATATTTCTTCAAAATTTAGAATAAATTATTTTTTGCTCTAATTTTGACAAAAACCAGGCTTTTTGACATGCTGTGTTTAGTCATGGCTTCCTCTAACCAGAAGAATCCATAGTCTGGTCAAAAGGAAAAAATCATTTGAATGATGTAGATATTGACGTTTTTCTAGAAATTTGTCTCTTCACATACTATGATAGACACTTTGTCATTTTGAACATCCGAGTTGGTTTCCCAAAACATTCTAATATTTTGTGAAGTTGTATTTCATGGGTACTAATATTGCAATGTGCAGTATACCTTCACAATGTCAAGAACATGATTTCTCTGCAAAGCGTATAGTTTGCTCAGTTCACATATTTTATTTATTATATTCTCATTGTACATAAATTCAAAATATTTAATCGATGTGAGCTCCTCCTCATATTTTCCAATATTTTCAACTTTGTCACCATATACTACACAAGAAAAAAAGACCATCATTATGCCATTTTCAATTATAACTTTTTAATTGAATAATTCAGTTTCTTAGTTGTTACGGAAGAGCAAGTATTTTGTTCTTTTGTTGGGAGAACTGGTTGATTTGGTACACTAGGTGCTGAGGTTAGATTTACGTCGTCTCTCGATCTCAACATATTTGAAAGATTATTCACTTTAGGAGTATTCTAATGCCCACTTTCTTCGTCAATGTGAAAGGAAAAATTGTGATGTGATCTATCACTCACCAGTTTTTTTCTTTCAACACTATAACTTGGTGCAAAGTTTACTTATAAATTAAAAGAAATAATTTTGATATATTTCAGAAAGTTCAAACTCATGATCGTTACTTCAGAAGTACATTAATATACATAAACGGGAGTGCATGTGACAAATGTCAGCTGTAGGTGACACTTGGTATTTATGATCTAGCACTGCACTCTTATACAAAAATTCATGAAATTGATAATATGAATTGTTTAATTAATATCTCACAAAGAGATAAAAGTTTTTAAAAATGACTATCTTTCTTTAGGATTTTTCCTTGCCAAAAGTAATTATCTCGCACAAGATAACTTTCCGCTAGAAGGGCTTCCCAGACATTGATAATGGCTCTACCGACAGCAAGGCAAAAAATTATAGTTTTATATCATTCTCCGAACTGTATTTAACAATCCGCAACAGAAACCTCATTTAAAAGTAAAGACTGAACAAAAGGATAGTGAAATTATTATGCATCACCTTAGGCGTTTACAGGTTAAGAAACGTTAGTTCTTCAAAAATCTTACCGAAGTGTGGACACAAGTTATTGGAAGTTGTTATTTAGCTATATCCAAGTCATTTCTTATCACTGAATCTAAACAATTCATTAATTTGCTTAAATAATATGGAAATATCACAATAAAATCATTGTAAAAGCATTTGAAGCAAAAGTTTGCTATATCTACAATGAGAGCGGGTTAAGATATCACTTATTAGGAACTGTTTATATAACTGACTTCAAAATTTAAACTCAAAATTTTCCAAAATTTTGTAAAATTAAACTATCTATGATTTTCTTATCACCAATACATATTAATCTATTGTTTTGATAAGTATATTTCTACATATATTCTTGTAAAGAACTCCTATCAAACCAACAAACTTAAACATTTATAGTAGGATATAAATTACGGCATAATCAAATACAAACTTAATATTGACAAAATACAAGCATTTAATATTTTAAAAACAAAATACAAGCACATGTATGTTATAAAATGGGCAGATATTTTATTTCGATGATCATAGTTTACATGACCATATCTCAATCACCTCAAATTGTGTTACTCATCATGATTTCATTACATGTTCCTTCGGTATTCAAACCCTACACTTTGGTGACAGTTTAACCCTGTTCTTCAGAATTTGTTTCTGATGGACTTCTGAATCATCAAACTTTTTTAAGGAATTGTAAAATGGTTTGGTTTTTGTCTTTACACTAGTA